ATGTTACCACTCATTTTCCTAAACTTTCTACGTAACGCCCAGGGAGTCTTAAAACTCCGAGCTGCTACCAATCGATAGTGAGCCTTGGTTTTCAAGTCATAACTAACCGTGACTCCTAGGTCATTGTGGGTCAGTACTGACGGTAAAGGAGTTTCATCACCATGGTAAATGTTGCTGTGTATGTGCCCCAAGTGCGTGCTCACACATTTTCCTGCATTGATAGGCATCAGCCACTTCTTTGACCAGGCAAGTAAGCTGTACAGGTCTGCCTGGAGCGCACGTATATCCTCATTGTTCCTGATTTCCCGCCAGATCCTGGCATCATCGGCGCAGAGAACGACAGGGGATTTCGTGATGTTTGGTAGCTCATTTACTTATGGGGGAAACAGTAGGGGGCCCAAGACCGTGCCTTGCGGCACTCTGCTCTCCACCGACTTCCAAGTGGGGAGTTGAGAATTGATCCAAACTCTTTGTCTCCCACCAGCAAGAAAGTCTCTTATCCACGCGAGCAGACTGCCAGTGATTCCAAAACTTTCCAGTTTTCTGAGTAATATGGAATGAGGTACTTTGTTGAACGCCTTACAAAAGTCAATGAAAATGATATCTACCGGTATCCTATCATCTTTAGACTCAACCCAACTTTCTCTGGCTGTAAGAAGGTTCGTCAAGCAAGAGAATTTTCTACGAAAACCGTGTTGTGGATGAGACAATAGAGCGTTGCTCTCTAGGCGGTCTATGACGGTTTTCTTGATCACTCCTTCTAGGATTTTCACTGCAGTAGTAGTCAAACTTATCGGTCTGTAATTTGATGGGAGCTGCCTAGAACCTGCCTTGTGGATAGGTGTTGCTATGGCATTCTTCCAGTCATAGGAAAGTGTGCCTTCTCTGAGCGACAGTCTGAATATAGTAGTCAATGTGCCGGCCACATGGAGTGCAAGCTCTTTGAGCGGCCTTGGGTGAAACTCATCCGGTCCCGCTGATTTTTCCACATCGAGAGTACTTAATGTCCGACACAAACCACGATCGACATTCACAGAGGTTATTCTGTTGGATGTCAACGCTTCTACTGTTGGATAACTGCTCACAGAAGATTCCTGTGTGAAGACTTCAGCAAAATACCAAGCCATGGCTTCTGCTTTTTTCCTATCATCCTCAATCAAACATTTTCTGTCCCACTGGTTAGGGTGGGTATACCACGACATGTCTTATTTCTGTGGTTCATATAGGAAAACAACCGCTTCGGACGTTACAATGCATCCTGGACAAGACGTGCTTCAGAGCACATTCGGGACCGGCGGATAGCAGCGATACATTTATTGTGGGCTTCTTTGTAATGCCTCACCACTTCGAGTGTACTTAGGTGGGTGGCAAGATTCCAACCCTTCTTCCTACGTCGTAGCAAGATTCGAATTTCGTGGTTTATCCACGGGGGACGGTGTTCCTGTCCCCTCAGGACAGTCCACGGTATGAACGATCGGGTCACTGGTGCATATAACCGTTTGAAGGGGCAACACGCTCCTGGATTGACTGTCCAGTCCTCTAACGAGGCTGCCAGGTTAATAGCCTCCATATTTGCTTTCCATATGTCAGGTCTGGCTGGGGCATGGGCCTGGTACAAGACGTCTGCTGTGAATCCGAAGATGGTCACAGCGCGATCACTTTTGCCAAAGGGTGCTAGGTGCCGGATGAAGCACGCATCATCCGTATGCGAGAATACTAAGTCCAGAACTGATGGAGCATGCTGATTATCATATCTGGTTGGTGTCTTAATGTGCTGTATAAGGGCTAATGAAATTGATTTTTCCACTAGCCAGTGGTCAAATAAATTACTTGGCGCTTTTGTTATTAGTCTATCCCAGTCAACTGTTAGTGCGTTGGAATCTCTTACAACTAGACATCAGCATTTATCTGTCCAGAGGGTCAGCTCATTCAGGAGGAGGTCTACCGCATCACATTCAGGGCTTCGATGTATCACTATTACGTTAATACCGTACCCCTTGCTTTTTAGTCAGGAGCGCAGCATTCCACATGTCCAACTTTCATGTGCATCTGTTTCTACAGTTAAGTTATTTATAAAGTAAAGGGTGACTCCACCACCTTTGCGTGTTAACCTTAGATAACGTTATCAGAGGAGGAACGTTATATGAACAATATGTGATGTATTTGAGCAATACATCTCGAACAGTCTGGATACACATTTGCTTGTCAAGTTAATTTATATATGAAAATGAAAGGTCAAATGCAATGAATGTGAAAACATTTCTCCGCTAGTCCTGGTAATATGGTCAGATAAGGATTGCCAAGGTAAATTAGGTGAAACAACAAACCACTTTTGTGCTAACAACGAGGGCTTAAGCTTACGAATGGCTGACGCGCCGGCAAACTTCAGTATGCACCCCTGATTACTCATGTATAATATCTTGAAGGCTGTTTTCGCATTAACCTTGTGATCCATTTCAATGATATGCCTTGCTGCAGATGTCGAAGGAAGTCTGTTACCTGCACTTATCTATGTTTGCCTGTTAAATCGCTTTTCAAGCCGTTCAGGTATTTGTTCGCTCACCCTAGTCTGCATTGAACGATTACTGCTCCCTGTGTATGTGTACCCACACATACATGTGGGCGTTACTGAAATTTATTGAAGGAACTAATTGTTTCAAATTTCTGAAGAGAAGTGCCTATCCCGGATCACTGACAAACAGTAGCTGCACCAAAAAGGTTCAACATATTGCGGTCAAGTCCCACTAATAAAGAGAACACGTCGTAACAACCCAACCCTGTAGTCAACTAATGAGAAGTGTCAATACCAAACCACTTACGACAGAACGCCAGCAAGGTGCGATGTGAGGAAAACCTTTGGTCCCCCGTACGGCACTGGTTCACTAGAAGACAGCCCCCAATTCGGCCTAAAACAGACTCTATCCGGTCTGACTTGTAACGGATGGCGGTCACTGGTAAGGGACGCAACGCGAAACGGGTCTACATGGACCGAAAAAATACAATATTTTTCCTAGCTTGCGTCCCTAGCAGCCGCAGCCTTGGCCAAACAACTGACGGAGATGTTGAAGTTCCTTACTCTGGACCGCTAATCTTAGCTTCCTTGGAGCAAGAGAAAAGATAAAGTCAGCCAAACACGCAAATCCCGGGCCCCAGTTACCCGAGTGACGCCAGCAGATGCAAATATGCAACCCTCCCAGGGACACTACCAGCCCTACACACCCGCCACGCACAGTAGTAAAACTACCAACCCCCTGTGAAACGGATGTAGATGCCAGAGACTACGCTTGTATTGAGTCAAACTCTGAGTATGTGGATACGGTGTGCACACTGAACACCCAAAATAAAAACATTACCCCGTTCTTCCCCTATCAAAGGTGATGCTGTTTCAAATCACTATGCGATCCATTTATCACTAGGGTATCACAGTAACCCTACAACTAAAACTGAGCAACGTGAAGATGCGTTTTGTAACACAATGACAGCAGACTATGACAAACCAAGGAGTACTGAGATATATTCTGTTCTGTTCAGCGAATTAGAACTACACATTATCACTCCTCTTACTTGTATGTCGTTTCTGTAAACCCAAGGTCTGTCCCTGGCAAACTATCAGTATTAAGAGGAACTGTATTCATATTTAAACCACCCGTAATAATTGTCACTGAGTTTTGATGTCGCACAAATATACCGGATGAAGAAATGAGTATTGATAAGTACACGCAGCTCCGATTTGGTCGAAGCAACAGGAACCGAGGAAGTTGCTTGATGCACTTTTTGAACAGTCACCATACTCGAGTTTGAGAATATGGTAGTTGATAAGGTGAGCTCGAAGTTTTTAGGAGGTGATCACAAGACGGTAATATGCACAGTACCACTTCCTTCAATTAGCTCTTCAGTCGGTACTTCCCCTCCACACAAAATAGTCTATGGATACTGGGGCGCGATGGACTACGAGCTAGTATGTCCACTGATTAGGTTCATCAACCGGGGATCATACTTCACCACTACGGACCCTAAATAAGCCCTTGATATTCCATGTCAGATTTGTTTATTCGATTCGTAACACAAAGTGATCCAGTTTTATTTACTTGATGACGTTTCGAGCATAATCTATTGCCCACATTCATATCAATGTAATCATACTACATTGGTATGAATATGAGCAATAAATCATGCCCGAAACGTCATTAGTTAAATAATACTAGATCATTGTGTGTTGCAAATCAAATGAAATCTAATAAGGAACTAAATTCTACCACGGTGCCTAAGTTTTACACCTATATCAGAGCCCCTGATGTATTTAGCTACAACTGCAATACCTATCCCGACACCGTTGTTTCGCTGAAAGGTTTCGGATAATTCATGTATACCTCCCAGTGTCTGCGAACAGTCACGCAATCTGTCGACTAGATACTGCCGACATCATAGCTTCGGTGCGCTCCGGTTGATTCTTGGTATTCCTAACTCTTTCTCGCACAACCACGATTTGCGTATGAAGAATGGAGTAGTGCACAAGCTAGCTCATCTAAGGTATATGCCTTCTCAGCACTGCTTAAGCAGCGGTCGAACTGCATGGGAAACAACATCTGCTTTCTTATTCATGGCACCAAGACCCACAATAACCCAGCAGGTATATGTGAAAAATTCAGAGACTTATTGCAGTTAGTTATCTGGAACCTACAAATCCTCCTTGTGATACCAATAAGGTATATTAGGCCTGGAAGCTGGCAAAAAATGGTCAGGTGGCGTACAGTAGCTCAAAAAACGGATATAGGATACTTGGTTCTGAACTACGATATCTAGGAAGAATATCCACCGCAGACTAACCAGGCCACCAGACCATAACTGTGGAAAGTGACAACGGTTTTGGCATCCAATGAAGAAGCAGGGACAAAAGAAAAAAAGGAGCTTTATTACTGAGATGTGGTAACAGAAAACAATAGATGTGCCTGTGTCAGCTTTAGTGACTGGGAATATTGGATGTTGAATATTGGATCTCTCAAGGTTATTAGAGGTCGTGCACATTATGAATAATCTATGAGACAGTACGGACAAAGTGTACCTACACAATATGGGATAACATGGAAAATATATTGATACAAATGTTATAGAATATAGTATTAAATAATAAACGCTACTCTGAGAATGATTCCGTCTTGGCTCCCTGTCGTTAGAGCATCGGCAATAGGTTGGACACCATTACTGCAAAGCAAACTTCCAGATGAGCCTTTTATAACAAGCAGGAGGTGTTTCAGAGATCAGAAAATAATAATAAATGTAAGTGGAAGAAGGTTTGAAACACGGAAGTCTACGCTGGAAAAATTTCCAGATACTTTGCTTGGTTCAGACGAAAAAGATTACTTTCAAGATCCTGTATCAAAAGAGTATTTCTTCGATAGAGATCCTGAACTTTTTCGATATATAATGGAGTATTATCGTTCGGAGAGGCTACACCTACCAAAGGATTCCTGTGTGACTGCATACCATGAAGAACTTCTTTATTTCGGAATAATGCCAGAAATTATGGGAGACTGCTGTTATGAAGAGTATCTGGATAAATACAGGGAAAACAGAGAAAGGCAACAAGAAGACAAAGAAGAGACATCTGATGATGAACAGCCATCAACACGTTTCAGGGACAAGTTGTGGCGCGCTTTCGAAAACCCGCAAGCTTCAACTCTTGCAGTAGTTCTTTACTACGTTACTGGTTTTTTCATAGCAGTATCTGTGCTTGCAAATGTAACAGAAACAGTTTCCTGTGGTATAAGTAACGAGAGTGGTGACAGTATCCCTTGTGGTGAAAAGTACAACGCTGCTTTTTTCTGCTTGGACACCGCCTGTGTACTGTTGTTTACCATTGAATATTTAGCAAGACTGTATGCAGCTCCAGCAAGATGTAAATTTGTCAGATCTGTCATGTCAATTATTGATATAGCTGCAGTTTTCCCCTATTACGTTGGACTTTTTATGTCTAACAACAAAGAGTTTTCAGGTGCATTCACCACTTTACGTGTATTTCGCGTCTGTCGTATTTTCAAATTTTCAAGACATAGCAAAGGATTAAGAATTCTGGGTTGTACCCTGCGTTGTTGTGCTTCCGAACTTGGGTTTCTTTTGTTTACCATAACGATGGGTGTTATCATTTTTTCGACGGTTATGTTCTATGCAGAGAAATCGGAGATGTCACAGTTTAGTAGCATACCAGCAGCGTTTTGGTACACGATAGTGACTATGACAACTCTTGGGTGAGTTACAGTACTTTGTTGTCACCGAACGCTTGTTTAATTCATCTTTATCTAATTTTACTACTAATTTTATACACAGTTTGAATCACAAGTGACATTTTTGTTGAGTACCGCTCAGTTTTAATTGAAAACTTAACTACTTTTTTCTTTAGTCTACATAGAACAGATCCTTTATGAACATGGTATGCAGTTGATGTAGTAATTCTGATAAATGATAACATGCAGCTGTGATAACGATATGCGCTTCGTATTTGCTGCTAACGAGTTTTTAATATAGAAGTGATGGTCACCAAATAAAATTTCAGCTATGAAGTATAATAGAAGGAGAGGACAAGAGTTAATATGCGTTTAATTTTAAGAATAATTTAGTGTACGGTTAGTGTTCACAACTCAAAGTGGGGATGGGTTTCCTTCTCGGCAGAGTGGTTTATTCGGAGAGGAACTTTACAAATGAAACAGTGGTATTTGGTTATATCCCTTAAGTAGAAAGATATGACAGATGTAGGACTGTAAATATTCCTAGCATTACTTAAATGTTAAACTTTTTCGTTTTCTTAGTTCATATCCAAATATTTACCCATTAGTCTCTTGCTCATTTTTCGTTCAACTTATTCTCACACAATGCTGTCGACTTTTCAGAGAAATATGCATGCATTAAAATATGTCATTTACAGAAATGAGTGAATTTCGACTTTTATATGCCATGACTTTGGCTTGGTATGTATCTGAGTTCACACTAAAACAATTTGAAACTGTTAGATTTCAAATCATCAATGCACCAATTACGCTATTAAGCATTTCTAGACCGCCTTATTATTTAGTGCTTTTTCAAAAACGTTTTAGCCTTGTTTAACTAGCACTGACGCTTAAAGGAGAAAGGAGGATAGGTATGTCACACATGCCCCATTATGTACTTTGAGTGCTCAAGCTTCTAAGGCGTTGCTACAACAGTACAGATGTTGAATTTATGGTGTTAACTAACTTGATGACATCACTTCACTAAGTATTCAGATAGTTTTATCGAGATTTTGAGTTATACTTACTTAATATGCATTATTTATACTGTGGTAACAAGAAACCATATTCATAACATAGACATTCCATTCATCCTCTGTTTTCGTGCTATACAGAGTTCAAGTGTCTACTTATGTAATTGTCACTTATAAATGAAAATAATGTGCGACCTTTATAGGGAAAAACTCAAGTGCTTTGGACCTTTGCTTGGCCTTTTTCGAGTGTATAAATTGCCACTGTACGACCGAGTGACAACAAGGTCGTTATCTAGCCTTCATGCGTTTCACACCTGTTAGATGTAAGATGATCCTTCACGACTGATCTGCAACCACTCCCAGCTGAATGATAGGGATTGAAGTGGTGGAATGTGTCATTCGCTTGAGTTACGTGGGAAGCTGCATTAGTCCGAAGGGACTGGTTGCTGACGAAATCTCAAATATAAAAGTCTCGTTTAGAATCCGCCAACTTGCGTCATCTGTGGCGCCAACTGGAGAGAAATCCGACTATCTATCAAAGGTAAAGTATACTGTGCTGCAATTCGTTATATCCTGTTGTACGGCTGTGAGATGTTGTTGTTAAAAGTATACGACATGAAGAAGTTACAGGGTTTCGATCAAAGATGTCTTCGTAGCATTGCTCGCAGGGAGAGCAATTCGATCAGTGAGGTTGTAAACCTTAGTCAACTGAGGTGGCCTGGACATAGGTTAAGCATGCCGAGTTACCGTCTACCTTAATATGCCATGCTAGATGAAGCTAGATTAAATTCGAAGAGGATTCAGGGTGTTCAGACTAGGATATGATGCCATTAGAAGTACGTGATTGGGGTCTCTGAAACGAAGTAAGTCAATGGTTGAGAACTCTTGGTGAGGTGGCTGAATTTTGCTCGCAGTGACGCAGATGTATTCATTCTTTGACGTTTTCTTACTCTTGAATATTTGCACTAACCGTTATCTTCAAATTGTTAGTTCTTCTACACTACTTTATCTTTAGTATCAGTCCTTTTCTGTTTACCTGTTTTTCGTAAACAACCGTGATGTGTGGCAACTTGAACTGATGCAGTTGTGTGCTAGGTTTTACGTTGATTGTATCTGTTTGTCTTCAGAGAACCGCTATGACGTTAACTGGTCCAAAAGATTTAGTTTTCGAACAGTTTGTCAACATAAGGGTAGGATTTAGGTACTGGAGTAAAGTATAATTTTATTATAGTTCTATCTCATATGTATCACCTGGTAGAACAGTATTTTTTACTGATAACGTTTCAAGTATAGTTTATTGCACGTATTCTTGTCAAGGTATCCACACAACTTTCAACCTAGTTTTTGTGCTTCTGCTGTTTATTTCTTTAATTTAACTGGTAGTTACATTTTCCACGTATTCATAGTTGTAGTGTCATTTTTATTTTGTGTTAGGTGTTGGTTTAATTAACAAAACTTCAGCTATCATTTCCTCTTTCCACCTATTCAAGTTATTTTTTAAAATTGCCACCTTATCCCATCCCATTGAGAGATTTAATGTGGTATCATGTATGGATCTAGTTGAGCTCTTCTAGATTTATCTGGTTAGAGTTTGACATTTTATATTTAGCTAGGTTTTCGTTCTGTTGACCTAATTAACCCCAATCAGCCAGTGTGACCTATATATTTAACCTCACAATCATTGGTCAACCAACTTTTTTATTTAATAGATCCCGTAGGTTTTTTTAACCGACTGGATTTGTATCAACGTGAGTTTTTAAGTCTGAACACTAAACTACTTGCAACCTTACTGAAAATCCTACATAGGGCTTTCGATTTCTCTGATTTATATGGTAAAACTCCATGGGTACTTTCAAATCATTCCTTATGGTTTCATCAATAACCCTTTGTGTAATTATATCATTAGTAGTATTTTTCGTACTAGTCCTTATGTGTTTCTAGTTAAACTTTTTGGGTGATTGCTATGTAATATTACATCCCTTGTATGGTTCGTTTCTTGACCAGGCTTCTGGGTCAATAGCTCTCTGCCATCTTGATTGACGAAGCATTCCCGCACTTCATATGAAGACGCTGTTTGGTTTGCTTCGAATATGCTGCCTAATGACCTGCACACAGTAAACGTGGGGTTAGCCTTCAGAGTTTGGAAAATTCTTATTTTAATCTGGTGGTGCACATAGTATCAATGATCCAGAACGAATCTATAGGTGAGCAGTGACTGAATGCACAAGACGCCATGAAAACGACGAGTAAAGCTGCTTGTGGCCTCGAAGAACATCTTCCTTTCAAACACCGGATATCCAAGAGCTCCTTTGAACTTCTTGACACTCAGCAGTGTATTCTGGTGATCAGCGAGTACAGTAGTGTACTTAAGTCCCTTGCACGACAGACTGAACAGCATGTGTGCAGGGACCATGAGGTCTGGTGGGTAGAACGAGTGAGGTGAAAGCGGCTGCTGTATATACCAAATGTCGAAAGCTATTCCATCTCATTCGGGCCACCGGCAGCAAGAAAACCTGGTGTCAGTAAGACATTCTGTGAAGTAGATGGTACACTAGTCAGTAACTTACATATACACTTAGGGTACTGAGTGGAGCATTTCAAAAGCAGTTGAAGCAGAATACATGTCCAGCAACTCCATGGTCAGGTAATACCAATTCACTTAACGAAGCCATCTGTAAGGAGCTACAAATTATAAAGCACCCGGCCTATATGACTTACTCCCTCCTCGTTTTAAGGATGGAGATGTGGCCATAGTCAACAAACTGATTGCATCATTTGAGAAATTATGTTATACTGTGTCCCATCTCTTTGAAATAAAGCCAAAGTTGCACTCATCTTCATAAAGAATCTGTTATTTATGTGATAGCCATCTGGGTATCACTCTGATGCTGGTTGCGTCGAAGATGTTGGCTGCAATTATGCTCCACATGCTGTACAAGAGGTGTGAGGAATGGGTCTACGAGGAGCATGACAGGTTTCGTTCAGGTCGTAGATACATTGTTTACATGTCCACCCTCTGTCCAATGCTCGAGCACTGTTGCTCGTATTGGAGGTCAACGGTCATTATATTTCTCGATATTAGAACTGCCTTTGATTCTTTGGGCAGTGCTCTGCTAAAGAATTGTCTGGTAGAAAAGAGTTCCTCTGAGAAGTTTGGCAACATCCTGAGAGATTTGTAAAATTGACAGGAGCTTGTACATTCGCTCACCATTGGTGGTGGTGCTGGGAGTTGTTGAAAAGTTTAATTACCTGAGTAGTTGTTTAGTGCTAGTGACATTGTAACTAACGACATTTTCAATCTCATGTCAAAAGTTAGGACGACATGCACCAACCTGGCTTGCCTTTGGTGCTGCCATGATATTGACTTAACTGTGGAAGTTTAGGTGTACAACACATTGTTATAAAAAGTTTCTCTATACACCCGTGAAGCCTGTTCCCTCTGTGCTGGCGATATCTGACAACTCTCCATGTTCGAGCACCGCCGTCCCCGTAGCACTTCTTGCGCCTGGTGGAAACACCATGTTGGTAATTTTGAGGTGAGATGGCGGATGTGTGATGAAGATTGTCATTCATTAATTGTAGCTATTTTGAAATACGGGTTTCGGTGGCTCAGACATGTGTTACGCATGCAAGCCTAACGGCTCCCACACTGCTGACTGCTTGCCTACTCTGTAACTGGTTGGAAGAAGCGGAAAGGTGGTCAGTGTATGATATGGCGCCTTGAAATGACTAGCAGCTGTGTTAATTTGGCATTTATGGGTGCCTCACGACACCTTGGATGGTGTCGGAGAGGTCATGCAACTCAGTACTTTGAGAAAATAGCAGATATGGCTCAAAATCGAAACGATTGGCTATCATGGTACAGTTTTCTTGATTTTTCTATCATCGTGAAAGGAAAATAAAGTAGTTAGCCCTCATACTTATGCTTGAGACCGGTTCTCTGTTAGACCATCCCTGTTTTTTTTCATTCTATCTTCCATTTCTCGTATTGCTAATATAGCCTTATCGTTT